AAGAGAACATAGAAGATGTTACTTCTGACTCGAACGTAGCTGATGATTGTCTCCGGTTAGGACGAGCTTTATTTGAAGTGTTTAAAACCGGGTCTTGATACTCAACCACCCGTTGAACCATTTTAAGTGACTGAACCACTTCGCCCATCGTTGGTCTCTGACTAGCTTCAGGTGCAACACAAGCTGCAGCGATTGTGCAGACTCTTATGAAATCTTCTTTTGGGTATTTTCCTTCGAGCCTTGAATCGACTAGTTCTTCTAACCGGTCTTTGTCTCTTAGAATTGGCCTTGTCTGCATCCAGAATCACATTTTTACATTCGAGACTTCAAAAGCTTAAGTCTTCAAGAATGAAAATGCAGGAAGATCTAGGAGAAGACAATAACTTTTTACTTTACTTACCCAAGTGACGAGATTTTCTTGGCCTGAAGGTTGTGACATATCCACAGGTTTTCTACCAGTTAACAACTCGAGAAGGACCACGCCGTAACTATAAACATCACTCTTGACGAGTAGGTGTCCCGTCATTGCATATTCAGGTGCTACATACCTGAAAACAGATCCCAGATTCAACAGGCAACTCAGAATTTGAGGTTGTATATGAAAACTGCCGAGAGATAAGAGCAACTCACCCAAATGTGCCCATAACACGGGTAGATAAGTGATTACCCCTGCCTTCAGGAGCTTGTTTGGCTAGGCCAAAATCTGCAACTTTGGCGTTGAAGTTGTTTTCAAGGAGTATATTAGAGGCTTTAAAATCTCTGTGTATAACCGACGGTTGTGAGTCTTCATGAAGGTATGCAAGTCCTCTTGCAGCATCAAGTGCAATCTTCATTCTGGTGTCCCAATCAAGAGGACAGTTCAACCCTAGAGGCCCTGAAGCATAAACAATTACTTAGATGAACCACTCTTGTAGATAAGTACAATAACTTCTTTTAATAATGTCAGATCCTAAAATAGGCAGCAAGGGAAGCGAAGAGTATATATTACCATGGAGCCAAGCCTCGAGGCTGCCATTTGGAACAAGCTCATAACAAAGTAGGTGCTGAGAAGAATCTCGACTACTATAGTAACCCACAAGTTTCACAAGATTACGATGATGAAGACGGCTTAGCATATCAATCTCCACCTGGAATTCTTTATCGCCTTGTGGCCCTCCACTTGTTAGCTTCTTAATCGCTACAGCAGTACCATCGGCTAAGATGCCTCTGTATACCTTGCCAAACCCACCTTCCCCTAGAATGCTAGCAGATTCAAAATTGCTAGTTGCCTCCTTGAGTTCTTCATATGACAGAAACCGTGTACTTGCTGGGTGAGGAAGAGATCCCCCAACTGAACCAGCGTCCAGGTTCCTTGGTTTTACTGAAAGGAGTATGCGATCAAGTTTTTATTAAAAACAAGAACTAAAAGTTAATTGCCAGGATATAGGAAAGTGAATCACACTGGTAAGTGGACAACAATCATTCATCATCTCTGTATCCCCATTTTTTCCAATCCTTTTGTTTTATTCCTACGGTATGTTGGCTTTTACATAAGGCCAAATGAAAGATCTAGCGTTGAAAAATAAAGACACAACTTTAAACCCAATAGAAAAGTTGATTTTCCCCACATCTATGCTAACTTTCCAATGTGCCGTTCACATGCTGTATTTTCTGACATGATTCATGTATTCCTTACTGATATCGGCTTAACATAAAAGGATTTAAACCTTGTAATCAGAATAGGTACATTACCAGTTTCTTTGTGTGGATCAGGAGCTTTCTCTTCTCGGAGTGCGCAGGAACAAATAACAAGCACAGTGATTATAGCAAGTATAAGCACACCAGCGGCTATAGCAAAGATAAGAATAAGATTGGGATGCTTCTTTTTCCCTGGAGATCTTACTGACGTAGATGCTGAGGATCCTTGTGATGGTGCTTTATGAGGTGAAGAAGCCACTAGAGGTGCTGCAAACATATTAAGACCTATCTTAATGCAAATGCAAGAAATCATGGTGATAAACTCCAAAAAACATCAAACTGGGAGATGCTATTGTTAACAAAGAAAACAATATCAGTCTACTTCCTTTTGGCTATGCTATCTTAAATGCTATTGACCACAGATGTGAACTCGAATGTGCAGAATTGATGGGCCGATTGAATTCTTGCCCAGATACAATTGTGGAAAAGTAGTTACCTTGAGAAGGTGCAGGGGCCTCAAACCAAGTAAGGTTTAGAAGTTTGTAATCTCCCACCAAAGTAGGGCTAAACTGAATCTTGTGGCTGATAAGCGAAGAGTTTATTGCTGATGCCTGACTCGCTGAAAAACTAATTCCAGAATGAGGGGTGATATCCATTGATATGTTCATCCTTGATAAGCTTAGCACATAGAAGTTAATCAGCTCGATTTGGTGAGGTAGGAGGCCAAGCTGGGTAGCAAATTCGTTCAAAAACATGTTCCAACTAGGAGTTTCTGAAACATTCAAGAGAAGGATGTCCAGCTTTATAGGATACACACAGTGGCAACCAATACTTCTTCGTTTAAGCACCATATCTGCTTTGCAACAATCTGGAAGAACAACAAATAGACACAATGAATCTTGAACTAACATGTTATTCAAATGACAAATCAAAATGGGAAAAGAGAGAAAATTGAACTTAAATTATCCTTCAAAGGGCTAATGTTGATTTAATTATGAGATTGGATACAGTCTTACTTGAAATGGAGGGGGACAAAGGTGGCTGAGTTAAGGCATCAGGAAGTGCACTATTGCTAGATTGTGCTGGAGCAATATCAACCAAGCCGGCTCCAGGAGACTGAGCATTCTTTTTCATGGAAGGTTTGGAGAAATGTGAGTTGGTAGGGGGATGAACAGAAGCGACCAAACGACTAAAGGGAGGAGGATGCTCAGGTGCTTCTGTTTGTTGCGGTGCGAAATACTTTCTGTGAAACCGCGGAAATTCAGCTGGTAGGGGCAGATCAGAGATAGCTGGTGAAGTTGAAGGTGATAACGTTGGTGAAATTGGCAGTCCTTCATGTTGAGCATCAGCTAACAGAACACTGACGAGAGAAACCACACAATATACAAAAAGCACTGGCTTCAACGCCATTCTCAGGATATCTCTTTGCGAACCTGGGATTGGCATATCGTTAGAACCAGTGATATAGAGGTAAAAAAAAGAACTGAACTAAAGCTAGTCCATGTGATGGGTGTAAATTGCAACCACTTGAGAGCAATTTTTCTACAGATTTTAATGGGAACAAGGTATAGAAAGAATGTCTTTAAGCAACCTAATGAATTCTCCCTACTAACCCATTTTCATGAAAAAGATACAAGGGCATGGTCCAAAATCAAATTCAATTCGAACCTACTTTGCCTTTTGAAGCCTGGATAATCTAACATATGGGTCCAGAGCTAAAGATCATGTACCATATTTAGAAACTATAAACCCAAAATCTTGAGCACGATAAGTTCAAACCCAAACTACATTCCAAATGTATATCGTGAGTTGATATTCACTAACCAAAATCAGAGTGACCTAACAGATAAAGAAACAAACTAACTAGATATCAAATAAGTCCCATAGACAAAATTAGAAATCCAAAAGGACCAAAACATCACAACTTTTTTTCCTCCAATTTCATAATTCCTTAAAATCGAGATCACTACACTTGAATGAGAGAGTATAAGAGGATAATAGATAAGCGTGAATTTACCAGAAGAGCTCGCGAGTGAGAAAATCGACATCACCGACACTTTCTCTTGGCTTGAAAACCCTCAGATCTACAAAAAAAACTCGCCGCGAGAACAGAAACTCACAACGCAAGACGAAATCCCAAGAAGAAACGAAACGTAAAAGACCTTAAACCCGAGAAAAAAACCTCTTCAGGGGGTTTTCAACGGTGGATCCGAAAAGGGAGATATATTTACACCAATAAACAGAGCTCCAGAAACCCTAGAAAGAGAATCCGCCATCGTCACCAACGATTTTCAGCTCTCAGAAAAATTTTCCGTTGGCGGAGATTTCTTCGGCTTCACTCCGCTTTTAGTACTGTAGAAGAAGCTCCATCTCTCTCTCTCTCTCTTTTTTTTCTCTTTTGAGAAATTATTAATTAATAAAACAAAATTTAATTGTTTAGTCCAAAATGTTTATTTAATAATTCTTTTTCTGATCGTTTCGGTTTTTGAATGCGCGACAAAAAGAAGAGAAGCGTGCGGCGTACTTGAGCGTATATGTTGTCCACGCACACTAAAATACGCCGTTAACGGAAAACAAACATTAACGGTAGCTTAAAAACAAAAGGCGTCAACAATATCAGTATAGTTTACTCACAAACGGACTTCTCCGTTGATTTTTTGTTGACGGGATTACTTTTTTCGTTGACGGAGTTACTATTCGGTTATCTTTTAGGGCGACACAAACAGAAAATTTAATTTGGTGGTTTAAAGTGTTTGTAAAATTAGTTTAGAGGTTTATAGTACTAGTGAAAATATATCGAAGTTTAAAGTGCTACCCAGTATCACTTTGAAAGTTTAAATTGTGATTTTCCCGAAAATAAACTATGTTGTTCTTGATTTGCTATACAGTTCCAGTTCAGGTTAAATAGCCCGAGGAGTTAGCAAAAATTTACTCTGAAAATAAACCAATAATATATTCAACCTTGAAAACATTTAGATATGTATTCCAGAGTCTTTAGAGTGAAAATTGACGGTTATATTGCATTTAGTGTGAAAACAAACTGAACGTGGTGTCCTTTGATCGTTTAGAGATCAATTTTTTATTAACAACTAACAAGACAATTAAATTTCCTTTTATTTCTCTCATGTCTAACCTTTCTTGTATAATCTTCTAAATGTTTTTGATTTTCCACACACTCGATTAGTTTTTATCCAAACTTCTTAGGGTAAGAGATTTTAGATTGTCATTGTTTAAAGAAAATTTGACTTTCAATCATTTATTGTACAAACAAACTGAAAATGGTATCCAGTTCTTTGATAGTTTTATTCTTTTTCATACCGTAATGTAAAAACTCACATGTCCAACCTTTCTCATATAAATTGGATTAGATTTCAGTCTAAACCTTTTAAAGTTGATATACACAAGTTACACAACATAAAATGTCAGTGTATGGACAAACAAACGACAGATTTACGCCAAAGGACACTCCCCAGATTTTAATTTCCGGCGGCCTGCGATTGAGCATGTCTCAAAACATGGTTCATTAACATTGCCATCATCCTCCGGTGGAGCTACTCCAAATTTAAACTGTTATGATTCAAACATGGAAAGACAAAAAAAAATAAAAAAGGAAAAAACTCAGAGAGAATGGGGTTAATAACTGGACAAAGAAGATGCTAATAAAAATGGTAACAATCGAAGAGCGAAGTACATCCATGAACTTAGAGTTGATATGCCTATTCTTAGAGAAGGAGCAAGCAAGATGTACCTGGCAACTATAATCTTTGAAGTTTGGTTCCATCACCAAAGGAACTCCCATGTAGTCTTTAAAGAATGTCTGAAAAAAAGTACGAATCCCACATTTTCAGGGATTTGTAAGCTTACCATTCTGCCGTGACAAAGTCTTCAAATTCATGTCTTTTTTAAAGCAGACACCAACTCAGTACAGTAATAATTGGTTGATTGATGAAGTTGGATTGCAGAGGAATACCTGAGTAGGTAGTTTACATGTATTAATGCATACTCCTACACACTTGCTTTCTTCTAGATACTGACATTTTTCCACGAAAACCTACTTGGATTCCATCTCTTCTTTGTTATATAGAAAGAAAAAGCAAATCATATGGAAACAGATGAAAACTTCAGTATGATCATTACCCCGCTATCCCAAGATTCTCCATTAGGAAGATCGATGATGTTTACTTTGCTCGGTCCCATGAGCCATTGACAGGTTAGTACAGTAACTCTCGCTTGACAATGGAAAACAAATAGAAGAGAAACTGATTAGCCCGTTGGGTAAAGTCAAAGCCTCCTACGCTTAGTAAAAAAGAAGGAATCCACATACGGAAAAAACTAAAGCTTCTTTGTGCCTTCCTAATCTATCTGTGATTCCCTGACATAGAGGATTGAAGATTTTAACAGAACTCACCAACCATCAAAGCAGCTAATTTCCCTTGTGCTATAGGAGCTATGAGAAGCTTGTAAAGCTCTAAAATGAGTGGAGGAAACAACGATTTCAATATTCGAACCTGTATCAACCGAAACGATCAGAAGGTAAGCATTTGATCAAAGCTTTCCCACAAGAACCAAAACTCAGAATTTAGCCTAAAGTTTCTATAAAATTGGTTTTCTCGATAAGAAATATACCGCAGCATCACTTGTCTCCGACCTAGTACGACCTTTCAACAAGAGAAGCTTCACCAACTCAATAAGTCCAACGTACCCGGGTTTCTCTGAATCCGACCCGACTTCCTGTTACACATACTTGAACATAAACAAGACCATTAGACTACTGTTAAACCTAATTACCAGTCCAAGTCAAAAACACTAAATCCCTAAAATCATGGAAAAAACCAAACAAATCCATTTCACGACTCACCTCGACCAATTTGTTCCGGAACGATTGCATGAAGAAATCGTCGAGAAGTCCTGGCTTATACTCCAACTTCGAAGCTCCTTCATCTGATTTAACCTGAGAATCAAATTCAAAATCACACTTTTATATATGTACAAAATTGGTCGAATTGAGATGCAAATTCAAAATTGGAACCACCTCTGAAGATTTAGAGACACTGCAAATCACACGCCGCGTGTGATTAGGACTTCGTAGGATTAGCTTTGTAGAAAATGAGTTGGAGAAGACGATAGTCGTCGTCGGAGGAAGAAGCAGATGGATAAGGATAGCCATTTCTGGCCTTCCAAGTTTTTGCGCCAGTAGTAACAACAAAAGAGAGACGGATTACAAAATTAAACTACACGCCGTTTTAGTTATACAAAAACGACACGGAGTTCTATTTCTTATTTACTAAAAGCCTTTTAAACCCTAGCAAAATCATAGATTAATTCGAGTGAGACTGAGATTTTTGTCATTTTTTGGGATTCATTCACTCACTGAGAAAATTCAAAATCCGTAAATCTGATAATGTACTCCGTTTCACGTCTCGCGAGGAGGTTCTGTGCGACGCTCCCTGCTTCTCCGGCGGCGATTAGCGGCGAGGCTGCTGCTTCGGTTCCGACGAAGGCGAAAAAGAATCCATCGGTATACAAGAAACTCTCAAGTCTTGGCACGAGGGGTGGGAAAATGGAGGAAACGCTAAATCAGCTCGTCATGGAAGGTGTACCTGTCAAAAAACACGAGCTTATTCGCTACGCAAAGGATCTTCGCAAGTTTCGTCAACCACAACGCGCTCTCGAGGTCTGTCTCCTCTTTCCTAGGCTTAATGTCTATGAAGCTTTAATGTGTATGATGTTTCTGAACTCTGTTTCTGAACTCTGTTTGTTGTTTCTAGATCTTTGAGTGGATGGAAAGAAAAGAAATCGTCTTTACTGGGAGCGATCACGCAATTCGTTTGGATCTTATTGCGAAGACTAAAGGCTTAGAGGCGGCGGAAACCTACTTTAACAGTTTAAACGATTCTATTAAGAATCAGTCGACTTATGGTTCGCTATTGAACTGCTACTGCGTGGAAAAGGAGGAAGATAAGGCAAAGGCTCATTTTGAAAACATGGTTGATCTCAATCATGTGAGTAATTCATTGCCGTTTAATAATCTGATGGCTATGTATTTGCGGATAGGTCAATCCGAGAAGGTACCTGCATTGGTTGTTGCGATGAAACAGAAGAATATCACCCCTTGTGATATCACTTACTCCATGTGGATACAAAGCTGTGGAAGTTTAAAGGACTTAGATGGAGTAGAGAAGGTTCTTGATGAAATGAAAGCAGAAGGTGAAGGTATTTCCTCCTGGGATACTTTTGCTAATCTGGCAGCAATTTATATTAAAGTCGGCCTCTATGATAAAGCAGAAGAGGCGCTGAAATCTCTGGAGAACAAGATGAATCCTCACATCCGTGATTGTTATCATTTTCTCATTAGCTTGTATGCTGGAATTGCAAATGCTTCTGAGGTTTATCGAGTTTGGGATTTGCTAAAGAAACGACACCCTAATGTCAACAATTCTAGCTATCTTACAATGCTCCAAGCACTGAGTAAACTTAATGACATTGATGGAATCAAGAAAATCTTTACAGAATGGGAATCAACATGCTGGACTTACGATATGCGGATGGCTAATGTAGCGATTAGCAGCTACTTAAAGCAGAACATGTACGAAGAAGCTGAGGCTGTTTTCAATGGCGCCATGACAAAGTGTAAAGGCCAATTCTCAAAGGCTAGGCAGCTTTTGATGATGCACTTGTTGAAGAACGATCAGGCAGATTTGGCTCTGAAGCATTTTGAAGCGGCAGTTTTGGATCTAGACAAGAACTGGACTTGGAGCTCAGAGCTGATCAGTTCCTTCTTTCTTCACTTTGAGGAAGCCAAAGACGTTGATGGAGCAGAAGAATTCTGCAAAACCTTGACGAAATGGAGTCCCCTCGGATCTGAAACTTACACTCTTCTTATGAAGACTTATCTCTCTGCAGAGAAAGCTTGTCCGGATATGAAAAAGAGGTTGGAGGAACAAGGGATCCAAGTAGACGAAGAACAAGATTGTTTGCTTAGCAAGATTTGCGCTTGATTCATCCTACAGCTTGACTCTGTCTAGTGATATAGTTAATGTTCTGTAAAACTATGCATTTGAAGCATTTTGTTCAGACTCATTTTCTCGTTATAGTTTGCCTTCTATATGCGTTTATAAAACGTGTGTGTACATACAGATACATAAAAAGAAAAAAGAAATAGCATATATCAAGGAGGATCTATGCAATGGTCGCTGCTCTGACGAGGGCAATAGAGCAGCGATTGGTATACAATACTCTCTCAATTCAGCCTCATCCACCACCAGTCGAGGTTAGGCTCCTCTTTCCTTTTACCGCCTCAGCCGTTCCCTCTGTGGACCAGTGAATTCATCATCCGTGGCGTGAATTAAATGTGGAATCTTAATACGATGGATAAAGTTTCATGTCTATGAGTCGTTTCTTCCAATTTGGTGTGTGGCTTTCGTAGTCTCGTTTTGGTAATCTCATATGCTGGAATCTCAAATGTTACTGACGTTTACTGGGTTTGGGGGATTCAAATCAAATCTAAAGACGGCTCTCCACGATGAATTCAGCCATACAAATCATGCATTGAGTAATAAATAAACTCCATGATGTTGTTGGAATCAAGTCAAGAACGTCAGAGTTGAAATCAAGATTCCCAAGGCCCGAAGAAGGTTAAACACACGAAGTTGGCCCAATATAGGCCCAATAAGAAAATACGGTTTACAACATCAAAAAACTACACGCCATTTTTTTTTTCTGCAGAAACTTGCGGAAATGGATCAAGCGATTGCCTCTAGATTCCAAAACGTACACTTGAAGATTTATGTATTTGAAGGAAAAATGTGTCCTGATATGCGAGAGAGGTTGGAGAAAGATGGAATCAAAGTAGATGAAGAGCAAGAATACTTGCTTAAAAAAAAAAAAAAAAAAAAAAAAAAAAAAAAGAATACTTGCTTAGCAAGATCTGCCCTTAATTCATCCTATAATAAAATAATGCTCTATAGAAGTATGTTAATAAAACCGTCGTTATGTTTCATGTTGTAGTTAGACTTTTTGGTATCTTGTAGTTAGAAAAGGTGTCTGTTTCATAGCTAATAGAGTTTTATTAAAATGAAACCTTTTCTTCCCCAAGTCAAAGCCAGAAAGAACAGATCATTTATCAAAGGCAGTTCAATATGGTTTGAGAATATGAATAGCTAAATAATCGATCGCAAGCCCAAATGTCTCAAATTTGCGACAAATTTATTGTAACAAATATGTTATGAAATCTATCTCAAATATTTTTTTATACTAAAGAAGTATCGTTTTCTTCGTCTTAAACTAGTCCCAAAGTTTTCTTAAATATAAATTTTGATGAGCTTCCTACAATCCTATGATAATAAGTTATTAAACTCTGGTAAATTTCATAATATAAAAAAAAATCAATTCCATCGAGAACCGTCTCAATATGTATTTGAAAACAAATTTATAACGAATTCCGTCTTAAAATATTCATTATGAAATCTTCCGTCTTAAAAACGCAGATTAATTGTAATGTGAAACCTTGCGTGCCACGCGTTTGTGATTAGTAGTAGTAGGAAAATCCTTTTGACCTTTGCAAAAGGCAGAAATATTCAAAAAACGGCACTAAAAATAGCATAATGGTTTATAGAAGTGCGTATGGCGAGAGGTGAAAAGAGGCACGTATAATATTCCACTAAGCAAAACAACTGTTACATGAATTATGAATATAGTAAGAGTGCATGAGTTTTCTTACAAGTGATCATTATTATCAGCTTTAGTAAATTTGTTAGTGCTTATAGAAGACTAATGTTGCGTTACTTGCGTATTCTTGTCGACCAAGGAGTCTGGACGCGTCTTCCAGATTTAAGATTGTTTTAGTGGGTTTCATCTTTCTCAGGAACCTGTGAGTAGAGGACACGTGTGTGTGTGCCTGTTGATGGGGTTTTGGCTATAAATAGGGTTTCTCGCCAAGGTAATGTAATCAAATTAATAGCTAGCTACTGATCGAGTTTAATTATATTGTTTGGGAATCTATCTTATTGTCTGAGTGAGCTTGTGTGTGTATTTTAAGAAAGAAAGAGATCATATAAAGAGTAAATATGGGGAAGTTCGAGATAAAGGGTTGGGTAGTGGCGTGTGTGATGTTGTTATTGATGTCGTCGCAAGTATTGGGAAAATTATCTGGTACAGGTAGTCATGGTAGTGGCAAAAACCGACGTCATAAACATGGAGGAGGAAGTGTTGGTGTTGGTGCAGGTGCCGGAGGTGGTGCTAGCGGTGGTATTGGTGTCGGAGGTGGAGTAGGTGGAGGAGGAAGTATAGGTGGTGGTGGTGGTGTTGGAGCCGGGGGAGGAGCAGGTGGTGGTGTTGGAGCCGGGGGAGGAGCAGGTGGTGGTGTTGGAGCCGGGGGAGGAGCAGGTGGAGGTGGCAATGTTGGTGGCCGTGGAAAAGGCCATGGCGGTAAAGGTGGTGGTAAAAGTGGTGGTGTAGGAGCCGGAGGAGGAGTTGGTGTTGGTGGCGGAATTGGAGGAGGTGTAGGTGGCGGAGTCGGAGGAGGTGCTGGCGGTAGTGGGAGTGGAGGTGGTAGTGTTG